CATAAATCAGACACCGCTTCTGAGTCTTGGAGCACGTGATATATTATAAGGAGTAACGATAAGTTTTATGACATGTAGTGAAGTAAAAAGTACGATCTTATGCTTTGGAATGTAGTGAAGTAAAAGTAAAAGTTACTCAAAATAAAACTACTCCAGTAAAGTACAGACACTTGAAAAATTTACTTAAGTACAGTAACGAAGTAAAACTACTTCGTTACTGTCCACCACTGCCTGAGGGTGAGTAAATTTTCAACAAATTTTCATTTGAGTCAACTATGCCTTTAATGACCAGATAACTACAGAGCCCCTAAAGGGACATGGTGGTGGAAAAAAAAATGGGGTGGGTGGAATTTTCTTTTCTTTTTTTCTTTTGCGTTCCCTCGAGAAACTTTTGTGTTCTCTCGCAGATATATTTTGCTTTCTTTTGCACATTTTTTGCGTTCTCTCGCAAAACCAGTTGAGTTCGGACAAACACTTCCTGTTTACTTTACAGATTGTAGTGGTTCATAACAGCTCCATACGTTCACAATGGAGCGGTTCATAGAGTTTTTAAACTTGGACTCAAGTTCAAATACAGTCAGCTTTGCATAGCTTAAGGCACGGTTTTGGGACATTCTAAAACGCTTAATGTACTATAACGGTGACATTGGAGGCCCAAATCGGTATTAATAAATACTATTAATACTAATAACAATTGTAATATTAATAACCTAGCATTACTATCAGTAAAGCAGATAGCCATAATGCAATGTTTCTCCCCCATAGAAAACCGTTAGGCTATAGAAAACGCTTAAGGGAGGCTAATGGATGAAGACGGTATAAAACCAAAATATGGTACAGAGTTTATTAAAGGGGTCCTCTTATACTTTTTCACTTTTTGAATTTTAGTCAGTGTGTAGTGTGTACAGGTGCATCTCAATAAATTAGAATGTTTTTTGTGATGTAACAAAGCGGCCCATTAGAATATCATTAAAATAATTCTCACCTATGGAAATTCGAATGGTTGGGGGTGGGGAGGGGCGAGGTCGTGTTTAGAACGCTTGGTTGCGTGCATCAAGACAACGACAAAGAAGAAGTGCTTCATGTTTTGTAATACGTAAAGTAATTCATAAATAACTATTAAAATTGACAGCAATGCATATTTACAGTACCTTTTGAATTTTTGAAATAAAATACATATTACCGTTGCACTTATCTGTACATAGTAAATGCAGTTATTTTTCAGGGGGTGTGCCCGAAGCGTGAATCTGTATTCAGAAAGGCACGGAAAACAAATAATGTTTGCTAACGGTTGCCTGTTACATTACAGTACATAAAATTTCACTTATCACATAAACAGAGTAAGTAAGAGAGATGACTGAGGACGATGGCAAATGATTTGTAGATTCTGAGCACCACTGATAAAACATCTAATCTTGTAAAATGTATGGTAAGTACTGCTGCTCCATATAAACATAGTATGTGCATCGTGAATCTCGAAAGTGAAACTAAAAAGCAATCCTGCACTCAAAAGCAGTTTCAATGCGGCAGATTGCGGTGGGGGGGGGGGTCACGATGCCGGCTCAACATCGTGATGTCTATCAGCCATCGGCGATGGACGATGCCATCGTCTATCGGCCCAACCCTAGTCACCACTCTAATATGTCTTGCAATATCCGTGCGTGCAAAGGTTCTGCGTGATCCTCTTGTTCAATATTCTCGGGGTCTGAAACCGGCTCAAATTGATATGGTAATCCTTAACTATACCGGATCAGACAGTATAGTTGTATTGCTTTGGCAAGGGGTGTGGCTGAAACACCATCTAAGCTCCAATCCCGTCCAATCACAACGCGCTGGGACAGTTAACCAATCACAAAACATTTCATTTTTCGGAAGGCGGGCCTTCATCAAACCCAAGCCGTTTGTGCCAGGCTGTAAAGAAAGGTATTGTAATAATGTAAATTATGTGAAAAATAATGCGTTTTTCTAACCACCATGCATGAGAGCTTGTTCTAGCTAGAACATAGAACATACACGCCCAAAACAAAATAAAGACTTTGTAAAAGAGCATATAGACCCCTTTAATAAAATATAGCCTATTATGCACAGGAAAGCAGACAAGCCCAGAATTCATAGCTTTCAGTACCTGCTTTCATGTATAATTTATTAATAAACTGTATACCGAATTCGGCCTTTTTATACCACTGTCTTAGACCATTAATTAAGCATTTTCTTTCTATGGGGGATACGCTTAAAGTGCAAATTACGTGCCTTGATAAGCATGCACTGACTATTTAGTCCAACTTCAAAACAAAACTCTATGAACCGCTCCATTGTGAACGTATGGAGCTGTTATGAACCACTACAATCTGTAAAGTAAACAGGAAGCGTTTGTCCGAACTCAACTGGTTTTGCAAGAGAACGCAAAAAATCTGAAAAATATTTTTTCCTCCTACCCCAAATTTTTTTTAAAGCCCACTATCCAATCAGAAAAACACATCCTTGTGCCATTGACCCACATGTGCTATTATTATTATTATTATTCATTATTTACATGTTAGCTATAAACATCTCGACTTTGACTAACTTTCTCAGCAAGCCTCTCTTAAAACTATTGCTTCACCATGACTGTACTTGACCTTAGAAGAAGAGTTTACACTAAAGTCTGCTGTAGCGTCCCTATGATCGTTGAACTTCAGAACTGTTACAAATGTGTCTAATAAATCTTAACCTCAACCAAGTCTCTCTTCAGATAAATTCATGCAGTTTGAATGGAGGCACGGGCTATGTGCTTAAACCAGAGTGGATGCGAGATCCAACCAAGAAGAAACCTGCTAAACAAACCATCAGAATCAGAGTAAATAACTCCTATTTGCTTTAAACTGCAGTTCCTGTTGATTCAGTTGTTTTATTGAGTTCTACAATGAAGGCTAATGCCTGCATTGTTAAAGTAATGGAATAATGTCATCATTTGCTCACCTTCGTGTCATTCCAAACCTGTATGACTTTCTTTTGTGGACTAAAATGTGAGAAACGGTCATTTTGCTGCTCGAGAGTCCCAATTTACTGTGGAAAAGATTTCCTTTTATGTTCATGGAAGAAAGACATTTACTTTTTAAGGGCTTTACAGGTTTTGAATGACATAAAAGTGAGCAAATTATCATTTTGGGTGAACTAATTGTATTTGTGAGGTACAATTTTCTTGGGTTTCTTGCAGGTGATGGCAGCCAGGCATCTGCCCAATCCAGAGCACATCGTAAGTCCTTTTGTGCAGGTTGAGTTGTGGCCGTACACAGGAGGTCAAGCAGACGACTACAGTTCCGTAAGGATACAGGAAGAGAGTTAGAGAGAGGGAGGAGTTACAATTTAGGTTATAGTAGTGCTGAATGTTGGTTTCTTTACAGAGGACAACGGACTGAATCCGGTGTGGCTGGGCCCAACGAATCCACCCAAATGCTTTAAAATAGACGAGCCAGACCTGGCCTTCCTGCACTTTGTGGTTTTTGAGGAGGACACATTCTCTGATGCTAAGTTTCTTGCACAAGCCACTTTTCCTATTAGAGGTATTCGCTCAGGTAAATCCATCCAACGGATCTGAGCCCAAAAATATATAATATGCCTTGTAAATATTTAATTGTTCTTTTAGTAAACTTTCCTTTCACATCTAAATCAACTAGGACAGACAACTTTTTTTGGGGGGTGGGGATATATATCACAAAAAGTTGTTCTATTGTTTTAGTTAAATCTTGGGCACGAACTAAGAATTCATCCCTTGTTTTAGTAAATTGTGGCCACACTACTAATTCGTTCATATATTATAATAAATGATGGCCACATTGTACTAATTTGTTTTCTTGATTTTATTTAATTAATGCCTTAGTACAATGTCAGTCACCACGATTTACTAAAACGAGGGAACATATTAAGTTGTGGGAAGAAATTCTTAATTAATGGCCTCAATTTAACAAGTTTCAAGGTTTCTAAACTGGTGCATTTCTCTTCTGGTCATTTTTTTCGTTTTATTAGGGTATCGATCTGTTCCACTGAGGAACAGGTTTCGTGAAAACCTGGAGCTTTCATCTCTTCTGGTGCATGTACAGCAGATGGAGGTGAGGAAAGACAAACTGACATCTTTCTTTTTTAGTCTTTACACGGTCATTAACAACAGCATCAGTGTATTATAGTTAAAGAGGTAGTTGACCCAAAAAAATCTATGATTTTGTCTGTTAAATAACTTCCTAGCCAATTTTCCATTCATTGTATGAGAACAGTGATGTTTACTACACCAAAAACACACAAAGCAATGATATATATGGCTTCTGAAGACTTTGAAAACCGTGCAGAAATTGCTTGAACTACTTTTGCCATCAGTTATGTAACACCTAGAATATATTTACTGCAGTGTGACCGGGCAGACTTGTGTAAATGTGGGCAATCATATGCTCACATATTTAGTATTATGACTTTAGAAATCCATGGATTAAATGGATTTGCACCTCTAAGCACGTGGAAGGGACCTTTTTTTTTTTTTTAAGATTAATGTACATTAACCATGAGACGGCTGATATGAAAGCAGTAACACCACCAAAAACAAATAAAAGCCCAACTTAAAATATTATTTCCTCATTTCAGTCAGTAATGAAAAATCTTTGTTGACCGGTGTAACGTAAACAGCCTTAACCACAAGGAACTTGCAGACGTGTCAATGTGAATATGGTGAAAAGAAGGACGTGGTTTAGTCTTGGTCTTGTGTTTTGGAAGATATATTCCAGATTCTGGATCATTGTGGAAATAAATTGTCAGGACTGCAGAGCAGTTACTGTGATACTGAATGAGATCTAAATAAACTGTATATGTGAGTATTACATATAAATGTGTAGATGTGTTCACATGTTACTGATAAGACAATTGTGTCATCAATTGTTATTTCTCAAAATAACAATATCAAAATATGTAAAACCATTTTTTGAAGCAAATGACTAAACTAAAACACGTCAATAAAAAAAGCTTTGAAAGCTTTCTATTTGAAACATATTCACAGACAGTTTATTTTGATTGAAACTGGTTCACATATTAGGCTTATTTTCCCGTTGAAGATTGTGTTCTCATTACAACAGCCACAGAGCAGCAGCAGCAGCAGCAACCCAGCTGTAGATAGAAGCAGAAAAACAAGAAATAAGGGCAGCAGATCTATCTGCAAAAACTCCAGGAGTCATGGGAAATGTAGTTCATTCTGTATGTACACGACTGCCGCAGGGGCCGCGCAGCGCCCACCCACATCAGATTAAGACTCAGTCTCAATTCAACATAGCAAAAAGCGCTTTTCAACAAAAATAAAAAAGCTGAAATTAATGAGACATTATAATATGTTGATAAGGAGACATTGGAAACACAAATAGCACAGTGAGTTCCACAGGATATTACAAATGAATCAGGAAACGGTTGACTGATGTACAAACTGGATTTCAACTTCAATAGATTAGCCATTGTCTCAAAGATATGGCGCTTTTTTTTTATAATTTCGTAACAAAATGAAGGCCGAGGGAAACCCAACCCCCTGAATCCTTCCCGCCACAGAGACAAACGGTCCGCTTTTAGGACTGGAGACCATTACAATGCATCAGCTTGAGTTTCACCAGTGTACAGAATGGCACAGTTTCTAGTCCACCTTAATAACACACTCCCAATATAATCCATCGGTTTACACTAACTCTGTCCATCTTTCACTTTTAGAAACACGTATTGATCCATATGGTAATTGGTTGAAGGGGCTAGTGATTTGACCCTTTCTATTAAATCTATATGATCAAATTGCAAACATGCAAAAAGAGAAACAAAACGGGCAACAAAAATGGATTAAACTTATCATAGTCAAAAAACAAACAAACAAAAAAAGAACACAATGACAGTGCACTTGGTCTGGGGGCGGGAAAGGGAACAAAAACGGGTGACCATATGCACACATCTAAAAAAATAAAGGCAACAAAGTCTCCCAAAAACTTGAGAGAAAGAGAAACGGGAAATTACATACACTCATATGTACATTATACAGTATGCAACTATGCAAGATGGCAGAACACGAGTTGGTGCCATTATGGCACCCAGTACTGAACGCCCCCCTCTGGACGGCATCTATATCTGTGTGAAATCGAACGCACAGAAGCTGGAACTGCTACTTTCAAGACCGGGGCAGCGACTCTCTGGATATAGTTTAACGTGGGCGTAGAGACAGACACGCCTTTGTAAACATAAGAAAAACTCCATTTAAGTTAAGACGGCAAACTGATTCTTTTATTTCCGACCGTCTTGTTTCTCTACTAGTCAAGATATTGACTGTAACTAATTACAGTGGTCATAAACTATATGTTCGAAGAGACGTTGATCACAAAAGCGAGAAAACGAAATATAAAAAGGTTAAACTGCATAACAAGCCATTATGAACATAGCGCAAATCTTGGCTCGATTTCGATATAAATATGAGGAACATTGTCAACCTTTGTGGCAGGACACTCGTGGTAGACTCCTATCAACCACTAGAGGCGAAGTTTACAGAGAATAATAAAGCCTATTAATCTGTTTAAAAGTCCGTAATGTATCTATGTACAACTTAACTGACGTTGCTAGGTGATGCAATCTTTACAGAAAATGTTTTAGGCACCATCTTGGTTCAGTATGCTTGACAAAAGTACTTCATAAAAGAAAAAAGGACCAGAAAGGGGGGCTCATAAATACACAGTAGTCCCAGACTACTTCCTGGACGACGTTCTCTTAAATAGGGTGTGAAATTAAAATTACACTGTACACAGTGTGGCTAAAAAAAAAAAAGAAGAGAAAGGAAATGATGAACAGAAACTTTTTTTTTTTAGCGAAGCCCCTGAAATGTCCGCATTAAAAATGGGGATATGCCGATTTTCTTTACAAACACACACGTATATGAAAGCAGTGTATGGAAAAATATGCTTATTCAAGTTGATAAAAAATGATTTTCAGAGCGATAGCGATATACAGATGAATGTGAGCATTGTTAACAGACACATTTTACACCAGAAATCTCTGTGAGGATGCAAAAACGATGGACTCTGAACCGAGAGGACCAAGCACACATGTAACAAGACCAAAAAAAACAAAAAAAACCCCATCACAATGTGGAAGTTGGCTTTCCACACAGGAAGTGATATCAAAACTGTACTGGAATGTGGCTTTGAATATTCAGGCCTTCACCAGACGCTGGTACCACAGGGGAAATGTATCCAGGTGGTCTGATGTCTTCTGGAGGGACGAAAAAGGACGCCGGTTATGGGTTAAAACGAGGGACATGGATCCTCTGAAGGGTTAGGCGAGAACGAGACAGAGGAAAAAGTCCCCTGGTGATGTCATTAGAAAGGTTCCTGTGCTGTCTGATGATGTCACGGGACATATTCTTGCATTTCGATGCCGCTGCGAAGAGCATCCTCGCATGAGACACTAGATGATTCTTGAGCGTTTATGATATTATCAGAAGGTCCTTGAATGATGGCCCTATAAATACAGTCCTCGTTTCTTGATTATGTTGTGTTCAGATCATGTGTCAGCGATTTCCTGTGTCTATAAATCTCCTCGAGCGTCGTGTTCACCACGCCTCCGTGTAGCGAACGTCCACTTCCTTTAGATTGGGTAGTTTGGCCTGTGGATAGGACCAGAGATAGAGAGGTTTAGATATTGAAATGTTTAATGTGACATGTTCCTGGTTCAACATCCTCTGTCGTTCCTGGAACAACATTCCTATCAGCCTTATGATTCCTATTATTCCACTCTGATTTCAGAGTCAAGGCTACAATTGATTGACTGAACCAGGAACATGTCCTGCTTGTGTACATAACATTGTGCATACGGGCAATAAAAAACTGGCTGCATGATAAAAGTTAAAGGTGAAGTGTGTAATTTCTGCACCATTAGAGTCACCAGACTGTATTGGAAAAGTAAAGAGTGTTGATAATGGTTTCCTGATCTCCCTCATCTGCTATTGGCCAGCCAAACAACATAACAACCGAAACTCAGGCCATTGGTCAAGTCGATGTTGCTGTTTTCCATTAGTTGTAATGCTTCAATGTTTTGAAAGTACCACTGAATCACAGTATTTACATTTTTGGGGGAAATAAAACTATGAACAACTTACACTATTATTCAAAATTTGGGGTCTGTTTGATTTTTTTTTGAAAGAATGTTTTTGAAGGTAGCATCTTAATGCTCACCAAGGCTGCATTTATTTGATCACAAATACTGCAATATTGTGCAATAGTATTGCAATTTTAAATCTGTTTTTCATATATTTTAGAATAAAATTTATTCCTGTGATGCGAAGCTAAATTTTCAGCATCCATTACTCCAGTCTTCAGTGTCACATGCTTCTTCAAAAATCTTTGTAATATCTTAATAAACATGTCTTTTTATTATCAATTTTAAAAACAGCTGTGCTGCTTAAAATCTTTGTGGAAGCCATAATACATTTTTTAAAAAGGATTTTTTGATTAATATAAAAGTTCAAAAGAACAGCATTAACTTGAAATAAAAAATTTTTTGTAACAATTTAAAAAGTCTTTACTCTCTTTTAATCAATTTAATGTGTCTTTGCTGAATAAAAAGTATTTATTTCCTTGAAATTAAATTTAAAAAATCCTACTGACCCCAAACTGTATTTTTTAGAAATAGTGTACATTTACTGTAGTAGCTTCTGCATTTTTTTTTTTTAAATGACACACTTCACCTTTAATTTTAAGTTTCAATCCTAGCAGTCTAAGGGTCTGTTAGAGTCATCATCTTCTTACCTTCAGGTCCTCATATGTGTCCGCTGTGAGTTTAGTGCTGTTCATATTCAGGCTGCACAGACTTTTCATAGCTGTAAGGAAAGGTTGCAATAAGTTAATTATCCTACATGTTCATTAAAATAAACCATAAATGTGTCCGGACATACACTAAATGTCTCTTACACTCAAAAGAAACCACTGTTTTGTTAAATGGATAGTTTAAATACTTAATTTAAAAAGCTGTGCAAGAATTCAGAGCCAAACAACAAGTAGATGATTGTTTATATGGCTAAGCTCCAAAAAAAGCACCATAAAAGTGGAGGTGCAAGGAGCTGGTCGAAATTCAACTGAAAGCTCATGATCTTCATCTACTGAATATCATTTGTGCTTGTGTTCAAGTAAATAATAAAATGATGCCTTCATACACATAACAGAAGGTCTGACTTCATTGATGGCAAAAACCACTGGTTCTCGCATGTTACGTGACTGATTGTGACGTGGCAAATTTAAAAACACGGTCGCGAATGACATTTGAGATCTTGGGTGGAGAGGAAGATTATTTGTGGGCAATGACTATGGCTTCAAAAGACTTGGACTATAGTGCATGAGTCATATTTTATGATACTTTGAAGCTTGATAGTATAAATCACCATCCACTTTTGTTACGGTATATGAAAAACAGAAGCTCGGACGGACATTGCGTTCTCCTTTTGTGCTCCACGGGAGAAAGAAGAAAGAAAGTCATACTGGTCTGGAATGACATGACAGAATACTCATTTTTGGATCAACGATCCTTTTAAGAAACCTCAACAAGCTTCACAAATGAATTATTACTAGCTAAGATCTGTTATAGATCAAGAAGCTAGAGAATAAATCAAATGATTTTAATTTGAGAAACAGCTGTGTTTTTAACTGGTCAGAATGAAAGTAGCTTGGATATAAGATGTGTGTAAATGTGTTCTTACAGCTGAGGGAGAGCAGGCCAGCGTCCGTGACTGGAGTCTCACACAAGTTCAAAACCTGCAGACAGGCCAGATGCTCCGATAGCAAACGCAGCCCAGCATCTCCAAACTAAAACAGAGAAAACAAAAATCAAATCAATAAAACAGACTGAGAAAGGTTTTTATTACAGAAATTAATACTTCTATTCAGCAAGTATGCATTAAATAGATCAAATGTGACAGTAAAGATATTTATAATGTTACAAAAGATTTATTTTTCAAAGAAATGCTGCTCTTTTGAACTTTCTATTCATCACAGAATCCTGAAAAATTTTCTTGAGCAGCAAATCAGCATATTAGAATGATTTCTGATGGATCATGTGACACTGAAAACTGGAGTAATGATGCTGAAAATTGTCATAACAGGCATAAAATGTCACTTTAAAATACATTAAAATTGATCTTTTTAACGTTTTTTTGATAAAATAAATGAAGCGTTGAGTATTAATAAAAAAAAAAAAGACAAGAAAAAAAACAAGACCACAGTCTTTTGAAAGGTATATTTTTAAAGCATTTAAAAAGTATTCATAAAGCATTAAGAAAGTTCTTTCGGCTTCAGAACTCATATAGCTGCTAGACTGTTCCAAAATAGTGGAGATTCTCTGTGACTACAGGACTGAAAATGAAATGAGCAGAAGAAAACAGACCTGGGTGGACCATAGGTTGAGCTGTTTGAGGGATGGCAGTTTGATGAGCTGTTCGGCGCAGGCACTGGTGACGTTGGTGAACGCCAAGCTGAGGTTCTCCAGATTGCCAAAGGAACCGGAGCTCAGCAGACGAGCCAAGTCAGCATCCTAGAGCAAAAAAAAATGTGAAGAAAAAAAGCCTTGAAGGATATTTGGTAGTGTTTACTTATTTTTTTAAGTGACGTGACATTTGGCCAAGTATGGTTACCCATACTAGGAATTAGTGCTCTGCATTTAACCCATCCTAAGTGCACACACACAGCAGTGATCACACACACACCGTGAACACACACCCGGAGCAGTGGGCAGCCATTTATGCTGCGGCGCCCGTGGAGCAGTTGGGGGTTCGGTGCCTTGCTCAAGGGCACCTAAGTCGTGGTATTGAAGGTGGGAGAGAGCGCTGTACATTCACCCCACCTACAATTCCTGCCGGACCTGAGACTCGAACTCGCAACCTTTGGGTTACGAGTCTGACTCTCTAACCATTAGGCCACGACTTCCCACGATGATGAAAACAACAGCATAAATACAAACCCATCCATAAATTGTAATTTACACAAACACACACTTACCGTAGATTTAGAGGGCAGAGTAAGTCGAGTAGGGCCTCCTTTTCTTTGCTAAACAGAGAAAGAGATATTACTAGTTCTGCAGTTTTTAGTTCAAACACCAGGTGGCGCTTGAGAGTCAGCACTGTATACGTAGGAAGTCTGTAAATGGGTCACTTTTGTCTTTTTGTGTTAATGGGAGCACTGCGATAAACCAGGCCTGTGACGGCAGCGATGACTGCATAATGACCGGCCACCGTATTATCAAAGCCTGTAAAAACAGTAAAAACATCTCTGTGTTGATTTGTGAAATTGGTTTGTGCACTCACCAGTTCTTTTAGCTCTCTCTGTCTGTCGCACAGCTGCTCATACATGCGCAGGCCGACCTGGGTGCTCTCCAGGGTGGAGATGATCTGTAGCTGAGTGTCTTTGTTCTCTATGATGTTGTACTCCAGCATCAAACACAGGATCTGCACGGCAGACACACAGAGATCACTGCTATATCCTACATATGGGCTTCCCTGGAGTTTTTTGAACTCTCCACAGATAATGTAGTGAGCTGCCTTGTAGTCTACTTGGGCTGCATCCATACAGAAATGGAAACTCATGGGTAACTGATTTGATACGACAACCCTGTAGAAACTATGTTCCTAATGTGACACACCTGACTAATGGTGTGGTGAAATTTAAAATTGAGTAATTGAACTTGCTGCGAAATCTCTGTGGGTTAATATTTAGCGAAAAATCTCTTGTGTGGATTACTATTGAAATTGCTGGATTTTGCCCGCAAAATTTTGCCAAAAAACGTAAATGCAACCACGCTCTCAATTCATTCCAATGGAATTTGATGTTAGCATGTTGCGAAGCTAACAATTGGATACTATAAACAACACATAACATAGCGCGTATAAATATCGGATTAAATAAAATCCTAATTCTAAATCCACAAAGGATACAAATAGACTATTATAGACTATCTGGAGTTTATTCTAGTCTAGAACTGCCAATTTAGATTCGAAAATCAACATTAGGCTACCTTTAATTTGATTTTTTGTGACATATAGGGGCGAGTTTAACTAAAAACTGTTCATACTACAACAATAGATAGCTCTGCAAAAACAAAACAAAAAACAATGCAACAGTTTCTGTAGGTGATTTTAAAGAAAACACCAAATAAATTTGCGGAAATTTGCCAAACAACATTACATGTGACCACATCCTAACACTCTTGCAATGTGACGTTAGCGTGTTGCTAAGCTAACAGGTGCTACTTTAGTAAACACAAAAACATAGCGCATACAAATACTGGATGATACAGTAAAATATTGGATGACATTTTAATTCAATTTGAATCATTACAACGCATTCCAGGGTTGCCAAATAATTCATACAGTCAGATTATCCTCTATCTGGTCCACTTCGCAGTTTATTCTAGTCTAGAACTGGCAACTCAGACCAATTGTTCGGTTTTGTATGTCATTTTAATTTAAATGTATCATGCTATAACAATAAATGACTGAGGGAAAAAAAGAAACCGTTTCTGCAGATGGTTTTAGAGAAAATTGAAAAATTTGCAGGAAAATGTACTTAGAAATTCTGTCTGTATAAAAATACAGATGATTTAAAGTGGAATATGCAATTCTGCTTGTGGATAATTTTTAGTTTTATTTAAGTCTAGTCATTAGTTCTTCCTCAAAAGCATTCAATAGTACCTTGTAAATACAACTTGGTTTCACAGGAAGTTGCATAATGCTTGCCAATCAGATAAAATCTGCTCATTTTCAGTCTGCTCGTACCATTTTGTGTGCAATATTCATCATATGGTCAGTGAACAGACTGTGGGCGGTCAGAGGACGTGCCCTTAAAGGCTGAGACTAGCAAAACTAAGGCTTTTGGAAAAGCCTTTGGGCTGAACCATCCATGATGCCTAAAAATGTTACTTAGGTGGGCAGCTCACTACATTCCGGCTCAAAGCAACAGTCAGTCATATGTACCTCCACCATGGTCTGGTTCCCCCGCAGGGCCAAGAGCATGCAGGGTCCCAGTTTATTTTCAGCCAGGGACAGGAGAAATTTCTTCGTCTTGTAGCAGGAGCCCATGAGGATGTGGACCTGTGAGGACGAACGACATCAGACCATAAAAGTAGATATAGTGGCAGGACAAAAGACTAAACTAAATGAGACATCTCGTATTTCATACAAACACTTTCATACCATGCTAGCAAACAGCTCTCCGTCATCGTCGCAAGCTACGCCTCCTGGACTGTAGAGCTGGAACCACCCGTCTTTTCCAGAGCGCACGCTGAGCAAACAGGAGTGGACCTGTGAGAGACAAACAAATGCATATACATTCACAATGGCTGAAGCTCAACAAAGCATTGTTTATTAAGTCTACAGTGCCAATATTAAGCAAGCATTCGACTGAAACTGTAAGCCTAACAACACCCTTTCTGCAAACAGCAGTTTCCTGTCTCACCTCTTGTCTGGGATCTTCAGCAAACCTCTGAATAACATATTTCAGCTCTCTGTTACAAAACAAAAAAACAGATCTGTTAGATGACAAAACATAGTAAAAAGTAAAAATTCACCCCCAAAAATTATAATTTGGTCATAATTTAGTTACTTTCATGTTATTCTAAACCTATATTAATTATTTTTTCTGAACAACAGGTCTCTATTTTCTATGCAGTTACAATTAAAAGGTATTGGAAGTGTCAAAAAGAAGCAAAAGCATCTTACAAGTATAATAGAAATGGGTTAAAATGACTCCTGGCTTTATTTGAAATCTTCTGAAGTCATATGATGGCTTTGTGTGTTAAACAGGCTGAAATTCTATTAGATATTCACTGTTAATCTGAACTGAGACTATCAGTTTGATATGTGAATGAATCATTCAGACCATTTCTGTGCAGTGGATGAACCAACTGACTAAAAAGATTCATTTCATTTAAAAGATTCATGATTCATTTCACAAAGCTGATCAAACTAATCTACCTAAGTGAGTCAGTGTGAATGTCAAAATTTTCAGTGAATAATGACAAAGTGTGTTCCTCAAAAGCTATAGTATGGCTTCAGAAGACTTTTGTAAAAAACACTTTTGTAGTTTTTGTGATACTCTTCCACACTTGTGTTATTTCATAGAGGTTTGAAAAAACAAGAGGGTGAGAAAATGATGACCGAGTTAGATTTTTGTACGAACTGTCACTTTAAAGTTTCATAATGACTCAACAATTTACAAAAACTCTTAAAGGGACAGTCCACCCAAAAATGAAAATTCTGTCATCATTTATTCACCTTTATGTCGTTCCAAACCTGTAAGACTTACTTTTTTTGTGGAACATCAAAGAAGATATTCTGAAAAATTATTTAGCCTATATTTTTTTTTGTCCGTACAATGGACATCAATGGGCTCCAGTTTTTAAAGTTCTTCAAAATATTGTATGTTCCACAGAAGAAAGTCAGTCATACAGGTTTGGAACGACATGAAGGTGAGTAAATGATGATAGAATTTTAATTTCTGGGTCAACTATACCTTTAACCTGACATTTAAGTATCTCTCTAAATGGTTCTATATACACATTAGGGGCAAAACTGAAGTCACTTACTTTGTGAATTTGGCATGTGCAAGGGCCCTAGAGAGGAGAAAGCAAACAGAGAAAAACATGGACTTGACTCAGGCACTCAAATAAGACAGTGTCGTCATTCCACATAATTACACAAGTTGCTTTCTGAGTCTATATGTAGGCGTGCTTGCCTCGACACGCATCATGATACAATTTCAATTCATCTGTTGTTCAAGTGTTCTGTGTGTATGTCATCTAAAGTGTTCTGTGTGTATGTCTGGGAGGACTTCATCAAATGTTTTGCATGTGTATCATGAGTGCTCTGGGATGTGCCTGGCTGTTGTTAACTTTTTCTAATGAAGGCTGGAAGCTCGGCATAGTGTACGAACCCAGGTGAGCCCCCCACCTGTGGCAACCACAGAGCTCTGCAGAAGACCTGTAATGATGCGCTCTGTCCTGCAGGGCCAATTACAGGAGCCACAGAGGACCCGAGAAGCCTCACCCAATACCCACAATCCCACTGCAGAGCCCTGCTGCGGCTCGCCCACGTCAGTACTCTCCCTTGCATGCCATTCCTCGAGAGACCAGCCCACCACACGTATACAGAGAGCCCCTGGTATCGTTATGTAGGCTACATATCCTAAACATGAATTAATATTTCTCATACACTACCGTTCAAAACTTTAGGATAGGTATGATTTTTGAAAAATGTTTTTGAAAAACCTCTTGTTCACCAGAATGCATTTATTTGATTAAAAATAAAGCAAAACTATAATATTTTTAAATATCACCACAATTATTTTTTTTTTTACTATTTTAATACATTTTAAAATGTAATTTATTCTTGTGATGGCAAAGCTGAATTTTAGCAGTTCCAGTCTTCCGTGTCACATGATCCCCTAAACCTAAACTATTCTAATATGCTGATTTGGTGCTTCAGAAGCATTTCTTTTTATTATCAATGTTGAAAACAGTTGTCCTGCTTAATATTTTTGTGCAAATCAGGATACTTTTTTCAGATTATTTAATGAACAGAAAGTTCAAAGGAACAGCATTTATTTGAAATATAAATCTTTTGTAACTAAAATCTGAATCTATTATACATAAATATTTAGTATAGAATGAGCTGTGTGACATCGAGTTACTCCATCTACCAATGATGCTTTTCACTTTTGTTCATTTTAACATCTTTTTGAGTGTCAAATGATGCTGAAATTCAACTTAAAACATGTGTAAGTGTGTATGTATTGACAGACAGACAGACAGACAGATAGATAGATAGATAGATAAATTATTTAACCCAATGATTATCTAAAAGTGCCCCAAATACTTTCAGTGTAGCTACTTGTTAGTAACTTGTAGAGTAGCTAGCTACTTTTTCAAAAGGGTAGCTTGATTTTATTTTATGTACTTTGGATAAAAGCGTCTGCTAAATGACTAAATGTACTTTGGCAAGCTCATCAATTAACATAAAATTAAGTTAGCACTATTTATTTGAGGTCCTGTGACGATGGCAGCATTTACCTCTACCATGTGGCCAGGACTGGCAGCCATTACTGCCTAAAGGAACTTTTTAAAACTGGATGGAGGTATAGTGTGGAATAGTAACAGAAAGATCCAGGGATGCCATACTCACAGCATCTTAAGGATGAGGGCAAAACATCCCAGCACTCTGTCGGCGTGGGCAGGCAGCTGAATGGACAGGGCGTTGAGCGCGGGGCTGACCAGTAGACAGTCGATCAGGTTGGGCTCGCTGTCGCCTTCTGCTGGGGCCTTGCACAGTGTGTTAGTGGTGTTGTTGTTGCGCTCTAGCTCTACCAGGATCTCGCTGGAGTTGACGATAGAAGGTGGTGGTGAGAGGGGCAGGGCCGGAGGTGGGGACAGGGTGGTGGTCGGGGGAGGCGTGGGCGGCTCAGGCCGCAGTAGGCGCAAAGGCATGGGCGGCTTCCTCTCACTTTGCTGCTGACAACCGTTTCGGATTTCCTTGAGACTGGGAGAGTTGTCCCGACTAAAAGAAAAAAAAAAGAAAGAGAAGACATTTGCCACTTTCCACAAAATTCAAGACAGTGTGGTGTCCTGTTATTTTTTTAAGGATACATTTTTTTTGGTTGGGGGAACTATTCGATATATACGGTTCAAAAGTTTGGTTTTGATTTGGTTGGTAGGCTTGCTGTGATAATCGGTGTTGACGGTGTTAAGCCACAACACCGGTTACATCACTTGCTCACCGTGGCACCGCCCCCCACTCTCTTTTTGATTTTTTTTTTGGTAATAAAAATAACTTCGTTCAGTTAGAGAACAGACACTACAATTGGCGGCTGCAGTGAGCCAAACAACAGTCACATCACAGATCAGCAGCAGGAGTCAGATTTAATTTATCACGTGAGGAGAGCGAGTCGAGCTGACCGACAAGAAGAGTGAGGTGAGACAGACAAGACGATGGCGGAAGATTTAGTTTCGAAACATAATGCAAAAGCGCCTAGCTGTTAGGCAATACTTTATTTAAACTTTAATATTTTACTTTATTTAAAATTTGTGTAATTTAACAAACGTTCTATGTTTAATATAAGTGAGTTGTGTTGTACCGTTTTGTTGTTGTCCATTCAAGCAATTGATGCCAAATTGACGCTAATTCGAATTCGCATGGGCATTTATAAGCTATTTAAAAGCGAAGGAAAGTGAGGAATTGATGGAAAACCCCAACGAACTCCACCCCCCGGTGATAGCGGTATTACCGGTGTTGTCGCACGTCGATTAACCAGTGGGAAAATTTCACCACCGTCACAACCCTATTGGTTGTTAAGATTTTTTTGCTTGTTTGTTTTTTAAAGTAGTCTCTTACACTCACCAAGGCTGTATGTATTTGATTGAAAATTCAGTAAAAACTGTAATATTGTGAAATATTATGCAAGGCGCTTTGGATAAAAGTGTCTGCTAAATGCAGAAATGTAATTATTACAATTTAAAGGGGTCATATGATGCTTTTTTAAAGATAATGACTAAATGTACTTTGGCAAGCTCATCAATTAACATAAAATTAAGTTAGCACTATTTATTTGAGGTCCTGTGACGATGGCAGCATTTACCTCTACCATGTGGCCAGGACTGGCAGCCATTACTGCCTAAAGGAACTTTTTAAAACTGGATGGAGGTATAGTGTGGAATAGTAACAGAAAGATCCAGGGATGCCATACTCACAGCATCTTAAGGATGAGGGCAAAACATCCCAGCACTCTGTCGGCGTGGGCAGGCAGCTGAATGGACAGGGCGTTGAGCGCGGGGCTGACCAGTAGACAGTCGATCAGGTTGGGCTCGCTGTCGCCTTCTGCTGGGGCCTTGCACAGTGTGTTAGTGGTGTTGTTGTTGCGCTCTAGCTCTACCAGGATCTCGCTGGAGTTGACGATAGAAGGTGGTGGTGAGAGGGGCAGGGCCGGAGGTGGGGACAGGGTGGTGGTCGGGGGAGGCGTGGGCGGCTCAGGCCGCAGTAGGCGCAAAGGCATGGGCGGCTTCCTCTCACTTTGCTGCTGACAACCGTTTCGGATTTCCTTGAGACTGGGAGAGTTGTCCCGACTAACAAAAAAATGAAAGAGAGAGGACATACCGTTTAACACTTTTCACAAATTCAAAACACTGTGGTGTCCTGTTATTTTTTTTAACGGAAAATATTTTTGGTTGTGGAAATTATTAGATATATATATATATATATATATATCAGTCTTCCGTGTCACATGATCCCCTAAACCTAAACTATTCTAATATGCTGATTTGGTGCTTCAGAAGCATTTCTTTTTATTATCAATGTTGAAAACAGTTGTCCTGCTTAATATTTTTGTGCAAATCAGGATACTTTTTTCAGATTATTTAATGAACAGAAAGTTCAAAGGAACAGCATTTATTTGAAATATAAATCTTTTGTAACTAAAATCTGAATCTATTATACATAAATATTTAGTATAGAATGAGCTGTGTGACATCGAGTTACTCCATCTACCAATGATGCTTTTCACTTTTGTTCATTTTAACATCTTTTTGAGTGTCAAATGATGCTGAAATTCAACTTAAAACTGGTATCTGTGGATCAAACTGGGTAAAACTCTCATTAGAACCAGTTGACTAATTTAATCATGTGCAACTGCACTAAACAAGTTAAAACTTAAACACAATGATAATTAAACTGAATGGTGTAATTGACACTTCATAATGAGTTAATTGCAGCAGCTGTAATCGTAATGGATTACTAATCACACTGGATTCCATTCTTTTCGAGGCCATAGTTGATAGTTAAAACAGACAGCAAGCAAATGGTTAGAAATAAAGCAACTGTGAACAGGATGAAAGGGGAGTAAATGCCCTTACTCTTTCGGGAAGGGGATTGGCTGAAGCAGGCTGGCCAGTGCTGGCCTCCAGTCATCATAGTCTGATCTGTAGAGAGAAAAGGCCAGAGGAGAAATTAGAGATTCTGAGACAGGAAGAGTGAGAACTGGAGAAAATAAGAACATAATGTAAGATCGGCCAGTGAAAGCTGAAACCTCAGAGGCTCTGCTGTGATCTGCAACCGGAAGGTTCACAATAGGATCAGGTGAAGGTAGCAAAGCCTAAAAACAGATTCGGTTCAATTAATCTGTTATAAATATGCAGACTGGTTTAAGGTCACTTCTCAGTGTGATTATGGCTCAATCTGCTTTATTATATCCCAAAGTGATCATTTATACTCAATGTGGGACGATTACAGTGTTGGAGAATAACTACAATAGATTTTTTTTAATGTAGCTCTGCTGTTATTAAAATAGCATTGCTTTTTCTGTAAGCAATAATTATTCCAACACGCAGCAGTGTTACGCAACAAAACGCTGTATTACGCAGCCTTACAATGCACGAACAAACTCTAAAATGCTCTTCTCTTTCATTCTCAAATCAGGTGGTACCAATAGTTTGTAGTGAATCAGTTTGTACAGCCAACTTATCACTTAATAGTGTTCCTGGAATTCCCTGCATATGGTTTTCTTTTTGGTAGAAATATTTGAAATATTTTGTTAAATTAAATTACACAAAAACTAAAAAATAAAACTATAATAAACAAAAAAACAATGAAGTGATAAAGCATTTAACTGCCTTAACTGAGAGAAATACTCACCTGTTTTTTATATATATATATATATATATATATACTCTAATGTTCAATAGTTTGGTTTTGATTTTTATGCTCAACAAGGCTGTATGTATTTGACTAAAAATACAGTAAAAACTGTAATATTGTGAAATATTTTGAGAGTCATTTTGGATAAAAGCGTCTGCTAAATGCATAAATGTAAAGGTTATTATTACTTCCACCTGTGATGGAAATGCTGAATTTTCAGCAGCCATTACTCCAGTCTCACATGATCCTTCATAAATCATTCTAATTTGCTGCTCAAGGAACATTTATTATTATCAATATTGAAAACAGTTGTGCTGCTTAACATTTTTGTGCAAACAGTGAAATTCTTTCAAGATTCTATATAAATAGGAAGTTCAAAAGATCAGCATTTAATAAAAAAAGAAATGTTTTGTAACAAAGCACAAGTTTGTCACATTTGATCAGTTTAATGCATTCTTGCTGAATAAAATGATTTTGTTTCATAAAATCTTACTGACTATATATCTTGTTTATATATATATATATATATATGTTTTTTTTTAATATATTACATAAATTTCAATCTAACATATAATTAACCTACTATAACCATTATAATGAATATACAATAATATATATGATTCAAAATTATACTAACATGATTGCACAAATCTACAAAATAACCTGAGGCTGACAATCAACTTTTCTGAGTGGTAAATTCCTCCTTTTACTGTCAATTTGTTGAAAAAGAAAAAAACATCAACTTTATAACAATATTGCATTCAAAGTGTTTCAGGCCCTTTCCATGGAAATTGCCATATTTGCATGCAGTCATATACAAAACACCATCTGTTTAATTTGCTACAGATTATTTGAAAGACCTTATTTGACTAAGTAACCATAGGACATCTGATTCTGGTAGAATGACAAATGGAATACATGATGTAAACACATGTAAATGTGCACCTTTAAAATATCCATGAACTGTTGTTACGGAAATTTGCCAAAAGGCCATTGGAGAGTGAATGAGATAAGTGATCGTAACAAAAAGCCAAAAGGGAGCAGTGTGCAGGGAAGCCTAGGGAGTGAGCTTTGACATGTCTCACTCTCTTGAGTCTTTGCGAATCATGGAAACTTTTGAAAATAGTTCCTTATTCCTCTCAGGTGGTCGTACCCCGGCCCAGATGCTCACAGTGATGACACAAACGGTGTCAGGTGAGACCAAAAATGTCACTACAGCTACACCACTGTTGTTTGTCACAAAAATACTGACCGATTAAAGCAGGTGGAAATGCAAGCATTCGTATTTAAGGAAAATTTAAGAAAACAGGATATGGAGCCGTGAAGTCAGCAAATATGATACAGAGAAATGTTTTGAGCTGAGGTCTCAAGGGCAAACTGCATCTCATGGGTTGGAAAACCAGTGAATCAGACGCACCTGTTGATGAACTCTTCGTAGCAAGAGTAGATGGCAGCCAGGCACACCGCCACGAGATTGGGGAGAACCCGAGGATGAGGGCGGGAACACAAAAAACGATAACGATTAATACATATTAATCATCAAAATCATTACATATAATCCCATTCTTTAAAAAGTACTTGGTAAAGTAATGATATTAGAAAAAATTATTTTTTAGGATTCTCTGATGAATACAAAGTTCTAAAGAACTGTTTTTGTTTGAAATAGAAATCTTTTCTAACATTGTAAATGTATTTACTGTCACTTCTGATCAATTTAATGTGTCCTTTCTTTAAAGTTTCTTCTTGGTAGTGTAGCAGTTTTTGTGGAAAATGTAAATGTAAAAATGGTTTATATATGAAATAGCCATGTGATAATGGCTATTTTTTTTTAAAATTCCTAGTAAATTCAAACAATACAAATGAAAGATACTTCCCATTTGACCTTTTTGTCTTTTAAGTTCACAAACACAAGCCAAAAGATTTTGAACAATTAAAAAAAGGAAATATTAAAAACAGCAATAAAATAAATAAAATAAAAAAGGTTTACATAATTGAACTCAATTGTTCCCCTGACAAATAGCCAGAATTGTCACATTTACCTTGCAGAAGAATTCACACAGGTCAGGGGGAGGGTGGTTATTCTCCAGCAGGGGTGCGATGGCCTGCAGACAGATTCAAACCATTAGTCACTTCCCCACAGACATGTAGAGTCTTGTTGCTTTTCATCCACATTTTACAGAAGTGCACAACCTTCAGAGAACCTTCTGTGTGTGCCTGTTTTGTTTCTATGGCATTCCACTACATTTTCAAGTCAATTTTATTCTAGAGCGTGTTTCACTGAGCCTTAAGACACATTACGTAACTGCCTTTGTTAGCAATGGTGTTTAACACACTGTTGTGTGAAGGCTATATGCGTCTTCATATTTTCTTTGAAAAAACAAAACAAAAAGGCAGCTTACCACAAATAAAGCTCACTTACCACAATGATGTTCTCATGGTCCTGAGCGCTGAGGTTAGTGTTCTGGGAAGGAAATGACACAAAAGCATTTGTTGAGAATTCATTGGCCAGAGGTGCCACAGCTAAGTGACTCAACAACCAGCAAGCCCTGCTTTTAAAATGTTAATGCCCTTCTTGGGAAAGCCGGTGTGACTCAGGGATATAGCCTTTTGACCAAAGGCCAGTGAGAGGTCTGTTTTTAGACCTTTTAAAATCTTCTTTGAATCCAAATACTTGGTATATGTGGTGTTCAAAGACAAAAATCTACATTTGCAAATCAAAGTGGGGATGCAACCAATCTTTCCCTATCTGGAAAAGAAGATCTTCGTTGTGTAGCGATGCCATGTAAAAAAAAAAAAGAAAAAAAAAAAAAGAAGTCTCTAGACTAGACCACAGCAACACAGACAACCACACGTAACTCTTAACCTGAACACAGACTCGAAATGAAACGTAATGCACCTCAATTCACAAATGACACTCAAACCAGAAATGACTAATCTAACATAAAAGATGCCAGAAATTGGCTGAAAAATAATACATCTGATAAATTTGATGTGCTCAATGAGAAAAGTGACTCATAAATGCATAAAAATACAATTTTATCAACAATTACTGCCCTAAATTAAGAGCTAAGTTTATAGAATATTCTATTCCTTAGACATGGTTAGAGGAACTCAATATAAATCTGTTTTTTTCTTGTCTATCAGGCAAAATTCGAAAGTAATCTTTTATAACTTTATAAATGTCTTTATTGTCACTTTAATTAATTAATGCATCCTCACTAAACAAAATTCATTAATTAAAAAACCTTTGAAAGGGTTGTGTATCTGTTTCTGTAGAAGATTTTTAGGTAAACAAAAATGTTTATATATTAAATGTGATAATGTCTACTTTTTATCCTAATAAAAGTCCTAATAAATGTAATTCTGTAAAAATGAATGGTATTCCTATTTGATCATTTTTAATTATAATTTCATAAACACAAGCCAAAAGATTTTCAACAACTAAAATGGAAAGATTAAAAACAGCAGTGAAATAAAATAAAAATCTATTCTATTTTAGGAAAAATCATACATTTGACAAATCTGCTGTTCTCAATGAGAAAAGTGACTCATAAATTTAAAGAGAAAATGTTTTCTTTTTGGGTTTAGGGTTAAAGTTGCATGATTTGAAGGATCACTGCCCACAGCAAGTGTTACACACCAAAATTTTGGATGGAAACAAGTATGAGCAATAATAAAAGTAATGCACGCCTTAGCAAGCACTATTAGGCCCAATTCCAATTCTACTTTATACCCCTTTCCCTTCCCCTACCCCTCCGCCTACCCCTTCCCCTTGTCCCTTGAAACAAAGTGAAAGGGGAAGGGCTAAGGGGTAGAATTGGGATTGGACCTTAATAAACTTTACACTCCTGTCAAATTAAATAATTAATAACTAGTCTTCTCACCAATTAGATGACGTGACGTACCTCAGCAAGCAGGGTGGAGATGATGTGCAGCGGGGCCTGATGGATGGATTCGTCCTGCAGGGGTGAGGTGAGGGCCATGTCCACCAGGGCCCTGATCTCCTTCAGAACCACGTCCCAGCGGCTCGGGTTATTCAGAACCTTGCGGTACTTGTAGATCTTTTTCTGCAGATGAGTCAGATAACCCAGATTGCACACACCTGCCTTTTACCAAATGCGACCAGCAGTTATGAAACCAGCACATATTTTACCACCATAATGCAGCAGTGGTCACATATGATAACTACATTACAGTGTGAATTACCTCACCAAATCTACCCAGAAATAAGCTGTGGTGACCAGGCTTGGAGATTCAGGGTTTGAAGTTCATATTTTGTTCCATTTTATTGCCCTCATGCATGGATATTTTTTCAACCACAGGCACTTTTCTTAAAACAAAACACTCTTTTCACGCTCTCACTAGTTAAATCTGTCTACTATAAACATCCCATAGTCAATATGTTTTTTTTAAACATCATGAACACTTCCACCGCATCTCAAAATATGGAAACTTACTGACTGGAAACTTGACGCACAAAAAAAAAAATGATGCTCGGAAATTTCCTCTATACACATCACATCTCGTATATCATATCAAGCATGCTCTTCACTGTCTCCTTGGCAGCCAAGTATTAAGTTTTGATAAATAGTTATTGGTTTGTAATGGAAATGGTGTCACAAATGAAGTTACAAATTGTAACAATAATCTCACAATAATACTCAAATAGTTTATAACCGCTTCAATGTTTCAATGTGAAAATAAACCAATTCGCCTAATTTGACTATATTTTAACTTGCAAGTGATATTTATTGTTTCCTTCATACATCACGTCTCATATTTCATATCAAGCATGATCTTCAGGGACATGGCTGTCTCCTTGGTAACCAAGTATTAACTTTTGATAAATCTTTATTGAGGCAAAATTGTTAATGCTGTAAATGACGCCACAACCGAGGTAAACGGTGTAGAAAATAGTATAAATCATTAGATAAAAGAACAATCAACTGATTTATGACTGTTTCATTCTTCCATTCAACAAAGTGAATGTCACATAACAAAAACAAAATGTTTTAGTTTTAATATTAGAAATCAACCCTTGGAACATCAAAGTGCCCGTAGTTGAAGAACCACCCACTTACGCACACTTATAAAATGATAACCTCACTAAAACTATGCAAAATGTCATAACGCCGATGCTTTTTGCAAGTCTAGCCTTCCTTGACGTGTGACCTTACCTTCCACTGTAACGAGTGAAACCATTGGTCCCGCAGATAGCTGTTAGCAGCCTGTGAGTGCACACAAACATTCGCAAAATGAGAGCGTAATCTCACAATGAGTGTCATGAAACCGTGAGGGGGCTGGAGGTACCTGCAGGAGGACTGTCCCTCCAGGGAAGCTTAGCTGGACACAGTATTTAGGGGCGTTGTCCCAGGACAACAGCTGTAGGTCCTCGATAGTGCTGTAAGACAGAGGGGCCTCCATGTATCCTGTGGGCTACAGAGACAGGAAGAGACACGTTCATATTTGCAGAAAACTGTCTGAGCTTTAACACCTAAAAGGACGAGCGTCATGTACCGCACTGTCAACCTTAATAAAAGCTCTGCAGCGTCATGGACTGGCGGTTGTACTATTTATTAACCTGCAATATGAATAATATGATGATTGCTCTCTGAATGTCATGATACGCCTTTGAAGTTGCATTGAACTCTTGACGTAAATATCTTCGAGCCAGTGTCACCCACATAATGATACTTCAATCAAATCAGTGGCAAATAAGGTTGAAGCTGAAATGGTTTGTGTTGCTGGGCACAACGTACAGTCTACATTATCCATTTTCTATTATTCTTATTTTAATTGTATTAATAAAATTTGATTATTTTAATCATAGTTAAAGGTATAGTTTACCCAAAATTCTTAATAAAAGAAATCAGCAAAGCGATGCATTTGTGTATGAAAAATATCCATATTTAAAACTTTATAAACCATAATATCTAGCTTCCGCTAACCGTCATACGTACATTCACGAGAGAGTGGCATTCCAGCGGATGACGCAGGACGTAGGCATAACATAAGCTCTGGTGAGAATATGCAAGTCTCGCGAGAACCAAGTTTTGTTTACAGCAATGGAAAACCAGTCTCCTCTTGGCTTATATCAAAATCCTCCAACATTTTTCTTTACAAATCCTCGTTTTGTACTTCTAATTTGTGACCGGGGTTTTTATTTTTTTTGGCTCTCTCTACTGTGCTTCGTGTTCGTCACTTTCACATTCATCACTGTATTCACCTACATCCCACGTCATCCGCTAGAACGTTAGCAGAAGCTAGAGATTGCGGTTTATAAAGTTTTAAATATGGATATTTTTCTTACACGAACGCATCGATTCGCTTCAGAAGGCCTTTATTAACCCCTCCCCCCCAGTTGCATTCAGACTTCAATTCTAAGAATTATGACGACTCAAAACTTTATAGTTACACTTTATCGTTATCTTGTTTGGTGTGAAAGGGCTTTAAGTCTCATGCGGTTCTTTTGAGCCGCAGATTTACAGCGAATTTAAGGTTCCCCTTCTTAATCTTTAAATGGCTGTAGGAGCTTCTTCATTTTCATTATTTGTCACACATGAGCCTGTTGTAGCTCATTTCTCAGTTCCACTCCTGACTGAAGTGTTGGTGGTCACATGACCTCAAATGTCAACAGGCTGTTTCCCATCTCCTTCCCTCTACAATAGCACACTGCGGCTGTTCCTTTATTAGTCGCCCTCCCTCCTCCGCAGCCCGGCAACAGGCTCTTCCGTTATTAGCACCACCCACCCTCGGCTTCTTTGCACAAACAGGCTATTGCTTGATTTGCGCTGCTCTCCCTCTACACTCAAACCAAACCACAGTTCCTGTATTTGTATCAGCCACCCAGTTCAGCAGAGCAAACAAGCTGTTCCTTTCTTTGACTCATTCTCTTTGCGTCTCTCGCTCGCGCAAACAAACAGGCAGCTCGTCCCTGTATAACTGAATAAAACAGGCCTGTCTTTTATTTACATCCCCCACTCTTAGGTGATAGACGAACTGGCTGCTCTGCCCTCCGCTGCAGAATCGAGATGGCTGATTTGTCTTTCTTTTTAAGAGTCCATGTGATAAGTATCTATTAAATGATATCTAATTTTTCAAGCAATCAATCACGAGTCTGCTAGCAGGCTTGTGTACATTGGGACACGTGCCACACGTGGAGCAAAACAAGGGCCCCGAGGTGGCAGAAACCCAGATAAACAGCTGAAGTCTACTTGTCTCTCATAAAATCAAGGTAAATATTTCACCACTGGGGTTTATATATTTACAGCATGGTAAAAACCTCTTTAAAGGTTGTCATAGCTACAATATCCTGTATGACGATGTGACGTGAACTTGCGCCGAGCTTGACGTTCCATCTGCTTATCTTTGTGTCACTCGCTGTCCTTTCCTCTCTCTCTCGCTATCTGTCCTCCTTTCCACATCTCCGTTCCAAGAAGTCCTCCGATTCTTTCTTTCTTCGTCTCATTCAGCCTGTTTTTCATGGTGCAATTCTTCCTTAAGGAGGAGTTGAATAGCTCTCCTCTCACCATTGCTATGTTGCCATGGAAACAAAGAGATGAAATAGAGACATATGGTTTTTTTTTTGTTACCAGGGAGATCCAGATGGAAAACGATGTGGAGAAAAACATCAGTGTGTTCAGGTGGCGTATCTATAACTGACAAACTGATCTCGGAGAGCTCCTGTTAGCGCTGCACCTACTAAACTGTGAGGAACCACAGCAAAGGCAGATTTCTCAGCTTCTCATATCGTTGTTTGAAGAGCTGAGTGGCGAATATAAGATAGATATGTATATTAGTGATAGACGGATAAATCAATATTGGGCCACGTGAGATGGTCATAACAGCAAATAACTGACTGATTAAAAATGTTCTAAATTGTCCCTTATATCAGATCCAAAATCTACCACATTATTGTCAATGGATAATACAAAACTTCTGGTTTTCAAAAATTACAGAATTTAAATAAAGTATTTATGAAGTCAATATTCAATATAGTTTTAAAACAAGTCATCTCTAGGTCTTAAATTAAACTGCATTAAGCTATAATTGCATATATTTTAGACATATGCCAATTGGCTCTCTAGTTATTGATATCAATATCAGACAGTTAAAAACCCATAATGGTTGACCACTAATGTATATTTTAGCAATACTGTATTAGATGCCATGCTTCGTTATGATTACAATTGCAACAAAATGTGTTATTCTTATTTTATTTTTATTAATTAAATTATATTATTTTAATCACAGCAAATGAGAAATACTGCAGAAATTACATTTACAGTTTTTGAAAAAAGACTTTTATGCTTAACAAGGTTGCATTCATATGACCAAAAACTGAAACTGTAATACTGTAAATAGTATTACAATTTAAAATAACTATTTTCTATTTTAATATATCTTAAAATGCAATTTATTCCTGTGATGACAAAGCCGAATTCCCAGCAGCCATTACTCCAGTCTTCAGTGTCACATAAAACAAAAAAAAAAACAAAACAAAAAAACCCCATACTAATATGCCGAGTTGGTGCTCAAGAACCATTACTTATTATTAGGAATGTAACGATTCACTCAACTCACGATTCGATTAGATTCACGATTTTGATTACACGATTCAATTCACGATTTTTTTTAACAAAATTAGATTTAAGACCAATTATAAATTAAATATGTCCTTTTATTATTTCTTGGACAAAATACTGTACTTTTCTTTGTGAAATTGAAATATAACACTATAATAATATACTAATATAGCACTTGTAAATTATTGCTCTTTTGTTGGTTTTGATTGCTTCTATTGTCCTCATTTGTTAGTCGCTTTGGATAAAAGCGTTTGCTAAATAACAAAATTTAAATATAATGTAAATGTAAATAACAAAACTAAATTGAAATTTTAAAACAAGCCCCAAATCAAATAAATAAGTAACACAAATAAAATAAATCTCTTTAAAAAAATAAGGCTTTGTCTGTGCTCTTTCCATTTAAAATTAGAAGCAACCACTGCATTTTAATCATGATCCAAACAAAGATGCTGCATACATGCAAAAGTCCCTGTATAACTGAATAAAACAGGCCTGTCTTTTATTTACATCCCCCACTCTTAGGTGATAGACGAACTGGCTGCTCTGCCCTCCGCTGCAGAATCGAGATGGCTGATTTGTCTTTCTTTTTAAGAGTCCATGTGATAAGTATCTATTAAATGATATCTAATTTTTCAAGCAATCAATCACGAGTCTGCTAGCAGGCTTGTGTACATTGGGACACGTGCCACACGTGGAGCAAAACAAGGGCCCCGAGGTGGCAGAAACCCAGATAAACAGCTGAAGTCTACTTGTCTCTCATAAAATCAAGGTAAATATTTCACCACTGGGGTTTATATATTTACAGCATGGTAAAAACCTCTTTAAAGGTTGTCATAGCTACAATATCCTGTATGACGATGTGACGTGAACTTGCGCCGAGCTTGACGTTCCATCTGCTTATCTTTGTGTCACTCGCTGTCCTTTCCTCTCTCTCTCGCTATCTGTCCTCCTTTCCACATCTCCGTTCCAAGAAGTCCTCCGATTCTTTCTTTCTTCGTCTCATTCAGCCTGTTTTTCATGGTGCAATTCTTCCTTAAGGAGGAGTTGAATAGCTCTCCTCTCACCATTGCTATGTTGCCATGGAAACAAAGAGATGAAATAGAGACATATGGTTTTTTTTTTGTTACCAGGGAGATCCAGATGGAAAACGATGTGGAGAAAAACATCAGTGTGTTCAGGTGGCGTATCTATAACTGACAAACTGATCTCGGAGAGCTCCTGTTAGCGCTGCACCTACTAAACTGTGAGGAACCACAGCAAAGGCAGATTTCTCAGCTTCTCATATCGTTGTTTGAAGAGCTGAGTGGCGAATATAAGATAGATATGTATATTAGTGATAGACGGATAAATCAATATTGGGCCACGTGAGATGGTCATAACAGCAAATAACTGACTGATTAAAAATGTTCTAAATTGTCCCTTATATCAGATCCAAAATCTACCACATTATTGTCAATGGATAATACAAAACTTCTGGTTTTCAAAAATTACAGAATTTAAATAAAGTATTTATGAAGTCAATATTCAATATAGTTTTAAAACAAGTCATCTCTAGGTCTTAAATTAAACTGCATTAAGCTATAATTGCATATATTTTAGACATATGCCAATTGGCTCTCTAGTTATTGATATCAATATCAGACAGTTAAAAACCCATAATGGTTGACCACTAATGTATATTTTAGCAATACTGTATTAGATGCCATGCTTCGTTATGATTACAATTGCAACAAAATGTGTTATTCTTATTTTATTTTTATTAATTAAATTATATTATTTTAATCACAGCAAATGAGAAATACTGCAGAAATTACATTTACAGTTTTTGAAAAAAGACTTTTATGCTTAACA